CTCGTCCGCGCCGCCTTCCTCCTGGTCCTTGTCCTCCTGCCCACATCCTTCAGCTCTGGCTTCACCCAGAGCATCCATGACACCATCAGCTCTGAGCTGGACAGCCTCGCGCCAGGGGGAAAGCCGGGATGTGCCGAGCTGCAGGTACTGCTGCCTGCCAGGAAAATCGTGGCCTTCCTGGCGGTGAGCCCAGGGGTGGGAGGTGGGGACCCCCTGCTCGGGGGGCACACACCCCACTGGAGGCCGAGTGCTGGAAGGGGTATCCTGGTTTTCTTCCAGGTGGGGTTGGCCGTTCTCCACCAAACCATGGCCCGCTTCGTGTGCGGCGAGGCAGCCCGGCTGGCGGACGGCGAGCGGATTGGCACCCTCTGCTCACTTCTCCGGCAGCCGAATCCTGATGTCCAACTTTCCATCCTGAGCTGGGTGATCTCCAGGGAGGGAGGAACGTGCGAAGAGCTGGAGAAGGCTCTTGGGCTGACATTGCTGGTATGACGAGGCTTGAAAGTCACTCAGTAAAGCAGAGGGTCCCCAATGCACCGCGCAGATGGGATCCCGGGTGCTCACTGAGAAGCACGGTGCTTCCCGGGCTGAGGGTACATGGGCACAGGGCACTTGCCCAGTTGTGCTGAGGTTGCCACCCCACGGTGCCAGGGACACTAACCATGTACCTTCTTTCCCGTTGTCAACTAGGAGAGCTTGCGGTCGGTGCTGCGAGAGAGAAGGGACAAAGAGTTCCTGAGATTGTACCTTGAGGCTTTGCTGCATCTTTACAGAGAACCCTCGTCATGGTCCCAGGAAGCTTTCCGTAAGCTCCAAGACTCTTCAGCAGCATGCCTGGAGATGCTGCTGCACATGGTGGAGGCTGAGTGTCCTGGCCCTGACCTCCTCTTCCAGGCGCTGTGTGCTGCCAGTCTGCTGCTCGCCCACCGGTAGGTCCCTGCTGCTGCTGGGGGGCTCTGCCTGACCCTTCCAGGAGATTTCTCCTTAGTCCTTGCTGGAAACAGAGCCACAAATTCCCACCTGTAAACCACAGCCATCTTTGCGTCTGGGTCCTGCGGTCTCAGGGCAGTTGGTGGCCTTTGGAGACCTGGACGGAGCTGGAAAGTGTAGCTGAATTCCCGTTCCTTCCTGGGTCTCTGACAGGTTTGAGGATGAGGAGGGCACCCTGGTGGAGCGATGGTGCACGGTGCTGGAGGCGTGCAGCCGGTCTGCTTCATCTGAGGTGCTGCGGCTGGCGGCCGCCTGCTCCCTGCAGACGGCGGGTGCCGATGCGGTGCAGCGATCCCTGCGTGCTGCCTGTCCCTCGCTTGTCCCCGTGGCTCTGCGGTAGGTACTTGCAGAAGCAGTGCTGCCCACAGCCCCGGGGGTGTTGCAGGTTAATAGGCTGACCCTGTGAAAGGCAATGTCCCCTGCAAAAAATTCAAGGGCATTGAAAAACATATTCAAAAATCACTAGCGCCCAAGAGCTTGCAGCCTACAAAAGATTTCTGGGTGGTGTTTTAACAGAAGCAGCCAGTCCCTTATGAGCAGTAAACTGCATTAATGCATCACTTGATCCCTGTCACTGCCCTCCCAAGCAGTGAGCTCTTGGCTGGTGGCTGGAGAAAAGTCTCCCAGCGAAGCATTGCCCTGGAGGGGTCTCATCCTCCCCTCCGCTCTGGGAAGGCTGGGGATGCTCTGGGGCGTGCGGTGGCCTTACCTTCCCTTCTCTTCCCTTTCCCCAGGCTCATCAACGTGGGCATTCACCTTCTGCAAGACGAGGAGCGGGAGGTCCGGCACGAAGCCTCAGCTTTCGCCAGCCTCCTGTGGCAGGGCCCAGGCGAGCCCCTCCGAGGCAGCTGTGTCTTTGTGCAGGACAACGTGGGCCTCCTAAACCTCCTGCAGCTCCTCCTGGCAGAGTTTGGGGAGCACCCCGAAACCTTCGACCTGCTACTGCAGCATCTCCCTGTCCTAAATCTCAGGGGCATCGTGGAGGAGCTGGAGGCCAACAGGTGAGTTACCAGACCCCTGCGCTGTGTATGAGGAAGCACAGAGGACCATGAGGACAGCCCTCGCCTTCACCTGTGCCTTGGCTTTGCCCCTCACAGAGCCACCAGCCTGTACAAGGAGGACGAACCCAACGTTTTTGCGGAGCCGGCCGTCCTGGTGTGGCAGCTGCTCCCTGTCCTGCTGCAGCTCCTGGAGAAGGCGCCCGCTGGCAGCCCGCTGCATGCCTCAGCTCTGCGCTGGCTGGTGGCTGCGGGCCCCGGTGTCCTACGTGACCTGCGGTACTGCAAGCACCGCTGGAGCCAAGGTACGGCGCAGGGGGAGCAGGGTGGCACAAAGCCCCCGGGACAGGCAAGCTGGTGTCCTCGTCCCTTGGGCCAGCTCTGCCTGGTTGGGGGGGACACTGCTGCGCTTACGGTTCCTTTGCCTGCTCTCTCCGCAGGGGCTGCTGCCTGCTGGGGGATGAAGGCTCTGGGCTGTGCCAAGCTGCACGTGGCCGTGGCCGTGCTGCTGGTGAGGGCCCGGCTGGCGGCACGGGCGCTGCAGGTGCTGGGGGAACGTGCCGCTGCCGTGCCGGGGCTGAGCTGCGGAGCCCAGGAGCTGGAGCAGGAGCTCGTGCTGGTGCAGGGGCTGCTGGCGCAGCACGGGCTGGCCCCTGTGCCAAGCCAGGGCGGTGTGCCAGGGGAGCCGGGACCGCTGTCTGGGGCTGCCTGACAGCTCTGGGCATGGAGCGGTGTCACACCAAGCCCTGCAGCTACAAGGCTCCTGGTTCACGCTGCCACATCCCTCCATTTGCTGGATGCCCTTTCTGGCCACTAGCAGGGAACTGCGGGTTCAGTGGTGTAACTCAGGGGAGCACCACTCGCCGTGCGGGACACGCTGCCTTCGTTCCCATTGGTTTATAACTCTCCATCCCAAGGACACCAGTGCAGCATCACCTTGGCCCGTGACTGCCCCGCTGCCGGCAGCATCCGTGCCCTCGGGTCTGGCTGGAAGGAGGGGGCACGTGCCCAAAAGCCCTCGCACCCCCTTTGTGCTGCTCAACTCCCACCACCTTTTTTTTAAACTAACATTTTAGCTCCTCTTTTGTGGCCAACTTGGGGTTTTGTCCCAAATAAAAAGGCCAAGAACATCCCCAGTGTTGAAGCCTTTCAATTTTCCCGCTCAGGAGGGGTGGTGGGAGAAGGGGAGGCGGGCGGAAGCCAAACACATTGTGGGGCAGCAAACGGGCAACAGCCACCAGCTGCAGCTGGGGAGATCCAAACCCCAAAGCAAACCAACCCCCCCGAACACCCAGCCCCAGGGTGCAGCCCAGTTCACGGCTGCGGGCAGCGGACGGGCAGCTGAAGACCCAGTGCCCAAATGAGCCCCTCTGGGCTGGGCCACCCCCACCACCGGCCTGTTGTGGAACGGGGTGCAGCTACGTCCACTTCTCCTGGTCACCAGCCCGGCACCAGCGAGGGACCCTGCCAGGCATGCTGGTCTTGCAGAGCCCCAAGCAGTGCCGCAGCCCCAGCTCGGTGTGCCCCAGATGGGGGGACGGAGCGGTGCTCGGCACAAGCACACGCCAACCCATCCTCATCTTCATCCTCAACCCCTCCTTGCCCACTGCAAGGGCTGCACGAGCACGGCCAAGCCGAAACGCATCAAGTTCTCTGAGGAGGAGAAAATCCTCATCCTAGAGGAGTGTAGCCTCCACAAGGACATCTTGATCGCCAAGAGCAGCCGGTACAAGAACACAATGGCCTGGCAGCGCACTTGGGAGGAGATTGTGGCTGCTGCTGACTCCCTCAGCCCCCTGGTCCAGCGTACGCCTGATGAGATCTGCAAGAAGTGGCAAAACATGTCCATCGACTTCTGCAGGGAGCTGGCTGTGGAGAAACACCTGCTGCTCCGCCAGTGGCCCCAGGAGAAACTCTTACACAACATCTTTACCCTCTTCAACAAGCCCAGTCCAGGGCTTTTGGAACTGCTGCTCACTGCCTCAGCCTTCAGAGCGAGGACAGCCCCCACAGCCTCCCTGGGATGCTGGAGGCCACCCCGAACTCGCTCTTACATGGCCAGAGCAGCACTGCTGCCCTGGGCCATGGGCTGCTCTGCCCCATGGGGACCCCACCAGCCCCATGATGGAGAGCCTGCTCAGTGCAGCCAGCGGGGAGCCCGACCCCAAGATGAGCTTGCTCCTGACAGGGGCCCCAGGTCAGTGTGGAAAAGAGACTGCCATCACCCGCCACAGCCCCCGCAGTCCCCTGCCCGCCCACAGCAGAACTGGTCCCGGTGGTGGCTCCCCATCCCACCTCGCCGCAGGGCCGGGGTGCAGAGGGGACGGCTGCATCGAGCGCGTGCCGAGCACGGCGCTGGTGTGGCTTTGCCTTGGTGTGACCACGAGTGTGGCGATGCAGAGCAGGTCAGCCCCGGCCCCAGAGAATGGGGAGGC